ACAGTAAAATTATCCGTTCTTTCTCGAAAACATGCATACACACACATATCACAAAAACCACCATTTAGTGTCCACAACAAAGCAAGAAAACCACTTATTTTCCGATATAATTACGAATATTTTCACCTTAAAATTTGTAAACCGAAACGCGTCGTCGTCCGTCATTATAACAATATTCTTTCGCATCAGCAGATTCCTTCGGAACCACACGTTATTTTCTCATTAGACAGGGACGTATTCGGAAATATTTAAAAATAAGGAATTATCGCTTCAGGGTGCCATACAGCAGAAAGTTTGTTCACAAAAAAAGAAAAACGCATCTCTATAAACTAATGACACAATTTGTGTAAAAATAAATGAGGGTAAGGGGTGTAATAATTGTTTAAATATAAAAAAAATGTTTAACTCGAAAACGGTAAGAGATAGGAGGTTCGTGCAAAGAACAAAAAAGTTTCTAAAATACGAAACACATGCACCTATCTTGACGGTTTTTAGTTTGAGTTTAGCATTTCGGAGAAAAGGGCAAAAGTTTGTGGTGACCAAACGGAATTAGTTAAAAATTTGTTTTTTGTGTCAAATTATTTTCGGATGAATAATCGATAGGTCCATATAATTAAATATGTGAAAATTTGAGTTTGGGGCGCAACAATTTTTGTCAAAAAAGGTTGTCAAAATTCGAAAAAAAGTTTTCCTTGAGCAGTAGGAAAGTAAATTAGAAGTTTTGGTGAAAAAAAAAATTTAAAAAATTCAAAGAATCCAAAGAAAAATTAAAACAAAAAAAATCTCAAAAAAAAAATCCAAATTTAGAAAAGTTTGTTTTTTCACAAAAACAAATGCATATTCATGAAGTACTATCTAATCGTGTGTAAAAATGATCATGACTCATAGGTGTATCTACCGTTTAAATAGAAAAAATTTTTGTTACTCGAAAATGGTAAGAGATAGGAGGTTCGTGTATAGGGCAGAAAAGATTGACAAAAACAAATAATATCGACAGCCGTCAACGGTTTTTCGCTAACTTTTGATATGACTGTGAAAAGGGCAAAAGTTTGTGGCGCCCAAACGGTAAAACTTAAAAAATAGATTTTTGTACCAAAATATTTCCGAATGAACGGTCTATAGGTCTACGTAGCAAAAAAAGTATTTTCATCTACCGTTTAGTAGTAATAACGAAAAAACCTTATAGCTCCTAAGGGGTAAGAGGTAGCATGTCGGTACAAGGGAACGGAAAAAAGCTAAAAAAATTAAGACACACGTTGAGCAAAAAAAATTTCGAAAAAAGTTGAAATTGAGGGAGAAAAGGGCAAAAGTTTCTAGTGCCCAAACGGTAAGAGATACGGTATCGGTTGTATACATCAAAACCTTCTTATGGAACGAACGGATAAGTTTGCTCAAAAAAATCGATTCTGTCCACGTCAACCTTGATACAGGAGCCATTTTTAGTTTTTTCAAGGTCGCTACGTAAAAATTTTTTCAGGTCGAAAAAAAGACCATCGAAAAAGGATTCGAATAAGCCCAACATGCAACACTTAAAAAAAAAAAAAAAAAAAAAAAAGCGAAATAGGTTATTGTCTTTATATTTATTGTCACATGACTACTACCATCACAACTAAGTACACTAAGACATTAAAGAAAAAATTTCAAGTTTCAAAAACCAACAAAAAAACATCAAAAACCATCAAAAAGCACTATTAAAAAAAGAGATATATGTATATATTTGCTGCTTCCACTACTTCTATCACTACAACAATTTGCTACCACTACAACAATTTGCTACCACTACAACACTAAACACTACTATATATACTATACCCTATACACTATACACTATACACTATATACACTATTCACTGTACAAAATTAATCCTATTTAATAAGTTTTTTACTTCTTCAGCACTGCTTTCACAATTTTTCAAGTTTTTGTTGAGATCATAGAGTTCTTTTTTGGCTTCCGCAAGAAGTCTTTGATAATCACACACTTTTTTCTCATATTGTTTGACGTTTTTTTCACACCTCGTCTTTTTTTTCAGGAGGTCGAACCTTTTCTTTTTATGGGTTCGTTCGGCCTCCCGACACTTCGAACGGAAAGACGCCAGAAGTTCCGGTGCCGTGGATGGCGACTGGAACTCATCCTCGCTGTCCACAGTTCGAGGTGTCGGGGGTGGTGTCCGGCGGATCGGTTGCCCTTCCTCCTCTTCCTGCTGTTGCTGCTGATGGTGCACTGATGGGGAGCGTACATCAGCATCAGGAACAGGAAGAGTTGCATTCGTCTCTTGTTGTTGTTGTTGCTGTTGCTCCTCAGGGGTTGCCTGCATGTTCTCACACAACGCCCTCAATAACTTCATGTTCTTTCCACCATTTTCCTCTTCGCCATCGAACATAGATGGCGTCAAGTCGATATCGAGAGGAGACGGCTGCTGGTAGGAACATGAGGGCTGTGGAGAACTGGGCTCTAGAGATCTTAATCGACTCATCTCCTCCTCCGAGAGCTCAGAGATAAGTCTCATAGGGGGTGGTGGTGATGATGGACGGCAATTATTATTATTGGGTGGCTACAAAATATATAAACATTACTTAGTTATTATTAAAAAGAGAAAAAGCAATCGCAATAATAATGCAAATATATAATAGATAAAAATAAAAAAAAAACCTACCTGAATGACGATATTTTCCAGAATATTAATTTTTGGTTTTTTTAAACTCAGGGAAAATTTCATTTTTATTGCAGGGACACTGTACACACACACAGAGAGAGAGAATAAAAATAACTAATGACAATTATAAGTAACTACTCTAAATATATAGGAAAAATAATGCAGAATATACAAAAAAATAAACAATGTAGAGGGGTTAAATGCCGAATCAGCAGTTTTTCATGTCCATATATGGACATTTTAAAGATTGATCCAAATCAGAGAAATGCAATTCAGCAATTTTTGAAGACGTGCTTTTCTCGGAAATTAAGAGTTCAAGGTTATGAAAAAACCTATTTCTGTGAGAAATGCAATTCGGCAATTCCATAAACACGTGCTCTTCACGGAACTTAAGAGTTCAAGGTCATGAAAAAACTATTTCCGTGAGAACTGCAATTCAGCAATCCAAGCCTCACTGTGATGAAGCACATGTATATAAGACGTATTGGTGTTCTATAAATTTATCAGTTCAGTTCACACATCAGATATGTTTCCACTGAAAGAGAGTCTTTTGGTTTCTCGCGATCTTGATATAGATTCATTGAATGAAGAGAAACGTTGTATCATTCAAGCAATCGAAAGTTTGTTACGACAAAAATTTCCATTGTGCAGAAAATTCATGGCTGGTGGATGTGCCTGCCGCATTTCTATTGAACCGAACCTCTTCATATACGGACATTGATATTTATATAGAAAAAAATGAAAATATAGAAGAATGGGCTAAGGATAACTGCCAAGCTAACCGAATCTCTATTTACGTTTATCAATCCAAATGGCCTTGCTGTTATTTGAATTTTGAAGGTTTTCTATTTAACCTTATTTTTATTGAACCTCGTCCTCAAATTTCCTTGGAAGCCAGAATACTAAGAATTCTCAAATCTTTCGATTTAACGATATGCAAAGTGGCAATGTATTTTTCAAGTGGAGTAAATCCAGTACTTGTTGAATGGAAATTAACAGATGTGAATTTCGACAATGTTGAAAAAAAAGATCGCATCACCAAATATAAGAAAAGAATTGCGAAAAAGGAAGTACGATTTGAACCAAACAATTTAGCTATGTCAGCATATACTGTAGTGGTAGATCACGATGATTCCTGTGTTGCTGCTAATAATTTGAAAAATATTAAATAATTTATTGTTGTGTTAAATCGTAGTGCTGATGCTGTTAGAAAAAAAAAAAAATTATAGAATATATGTGAAATAAAACTAATAAATGTAAATAATTGTTTTATTGAATCCGTACATTCATACATTTTCAAACATTTGTTGGATTATTGGGTTTGCTACAATGAGTGAAACATATTAACACTAAATAAAGTAACACACAAAATATAGTTACAAAAATAATTGCTCCTGCAGAAGTAAATATCCAGATCCAGGGTTTTGCCAAACAATATTGTGTAGCATTTTCACCGCTAGAACTTTTGTATCCACTATAATCGTTAATAGTGGTGATATTTGGTGACTTGCATCGGCTTCTGTTTTTGAAGACAAATTCTAGTTGATACTGCAGTTGGCTGGAAACGGATACATTTTTTGAATAAAACATAACTAACTGATCATGTCCATCTTTAATTTCTATCATTTTTCTACAAGTACATTCTTTATTTCTAACCAGAGTTTGTAAATGTACATCTGTAACATTGCTATCAGTGAATAAATACAAATCTTTCTGTATTAAAATGGTCGATAAAGTAAGTGTGCAGTTTAAGCCTAACATTGTTTGGATAGAATGAGTACTTTGTTGTTGCGAAGTAACCTATATATGTATTCAACAGCACCACCACCACCACCACCACAATTAGCACTAACGGCTCGCCAAATCCCAGCATGCTACTATTACGGTCATTATCGAGAATATGAGGAAAAGTGAAGCAGACCACACATGATCGTTTCTTAAACAAAAATCAAAGATTTCCTTTGAATTGTTACTACTGTTAATATTTTCGATTATTAACCATTGAGAAAATTGTCGATTTCCTTGTTCTGTTTTTATCTTGTAAGCCAAATAATTTTGCGTTGTGATATTTTTCGCATAGAAGAGATGATAACTGGTTTCGATTATATTGATCGGAGTCATTTTTTCCCAACATTCCTTTTCATACGTCTGAATATACAGAAGAGTTATGTTTGGCGTGGTATAGATATATAAGTTGTTTTCAACAAGCGCACTTAATAGTACCATCACGTTGATAGGCAGAAACATTTTAGACTAGTTATGTTCTTGTATACACACACTCGAATAGCAAGCTTGTAGAGGTGGTAAGTCATGGTAGGGTGGTAGCGATAAACGGACCGAAACAAATTACTATAATTATTTTATTATTTTCTTCTAAAAACTGACTTATAATTATTGATTGCCGTTCTGTCCAGAAGCAGCTCCCTACTCATGGAGGGGACGTACGTTTGACTAATTTCATTATCCCAGTTGTCTGGGCATTCTATTATTGGCGGTGGTGGTGGTGCTCGTGGTGGTGGTGATGGTGGCGTATGGGATGCTCTGGAAGCAGCCTCACGAAGACATCTCTCCCGCTCCCAGGCCTCACGATGACAATTAAAAATATGGCGCTTCAATCGGCTCTCAAGAAGCCTATGGCTTCTGTCAAACGGGCATATGACAAATTGCTCTAAATAAAAAAAAAAGAAAAAACAATTAGGATTTTTATTTAATAGTAATAAAGACAAGCTTACCCATTTTGTTGTTTATATATATTTTTCTTAAGTGTTGAGGACTGACTGTGATCTTCAATTTGTTGAGGACTGTTATAACTCTTGCGGGTGATCTCCCATTTATACACATTATCAATCCCCACTCTTGCTATTTTCCTCCACTTTTACTACAGATTACATTTTCTTAATTACGCTGAAGTTGATAATTTAGTTGTTTTTCTGAGCTTGCAAAAATACGCGTCTCATTTTTCGCTGATTTTTATTAAATTTGTTGAGTTGTGAGTTACAATCGGAAATTTCGTTCACATATAAATAAGAAGGTATTCCACAGAAAAATAAAGAAAAATAATAGTGCTCTTCTTTCTACTGTGATAAACAAGTTCGACAGCAAAAAAAAAAAAAAAAAAGAAATGCATCCGCAGGAAACAGTGACGGCTATATGTAAAGGCTCGCTTAAGCTAATTCATGAATATATTAGTAAAATCAAAACAATCGAAGAAATTAAAAATTTTTTAGTATATATAAATACCAGCATTAGAATAATTAGAAAAGCACTTAGATGTAAAATACATCGAGAAAATATTTTAGAAAATGCTAATTCCTTAGAAACAAGTCTAGCTTATTTAAAATTTTACCGCTTCAAGCTTTTAAATAAAAAAAAACAATTGTCTCTAAAAATTGGAGAAGGTTATTTTAAAAGAGACAAATTTAAACCTACGGCAAACGTAACCTGGCAAGACATAGAATCTTGTTTTGAACAAAGAATTCGTACAGGATTTATAATTAATCATCACATTAAAGATCCTCTTCAGTTTTTTCGACAATCTTTTAAATGTTTTATGTTTAGAATTAGAAAAGAGCTAAAAAACACGATGCTAAAAGTAAATGTAATTTTTTCGGCAAATTTTATTAAACCGCACTCTGGTGAAACAGACGTTAAAACATTCTCCACAAAAAATCAGCACATTGATGCATATACAGATTTAAAGCAATGGTACGAAGAGAACGTTGTTGATAAGATAATGAAGAAATTAGAAGAATTTGCGGAAAAGGACTCCGGTTGGGCGTTGTATGAGATTTTAGGATTGAAAATTAACATAAATAAATATGATCCAATCAAATTTGGTTACTCAACTTTCGTGTCCACACCAGCTTGCATTAAAAAAAAACATGCAATAATTAATGTTCAAAATGATGGTGAATATTGTTTTCTATGGGCAATAGTTTCAGCTTTATTCCCTACCGATAAAAATTCACATCGAAAATCGTCGTATCCACACTTCAAAAATGTGTTGAAATATGATAATTTAGACTTTCCAATCACAATTAAAGACATTCAAAAATTTGAAGAACTCAACAATCTTGCAATTAATTTGTACTGCATCGAGGAGAAAAAAGTTTTACCTTGTCGTTTAAGCACAAGGTTTTTAAATTCTAATAAAGTAATTAATTTGCTTATGCTACCTGCTGAAACACAAATACAAAATACAAAAAACGACAATGATCACTTTGAAGATCGTCAATTGCTCTATCATTTCGTGTGGATCAAAAATTTGTCAGCTCTTTTAGCTAAGCAACTTTCCCTCCATAAATGTAAATTTTATATATGCGAAAGATGTTTAAATCATTTCACTACAGAGGAGTTACTCCAAAAACATAAAACTACATGTCAGAGTATTAATAAATATTCCATAAGATTGCCATCAGAAAACGAAAATTATTTGTATTTTCAAAATTATAGATATCAAGAGAAAGTACCTTTTACTATATACGCAGATCTCGAGAGTATTCTTCTTGATTATTCAAAAGACCACATGTCCACTACTTGTAAAACCAATCCTTATCAAAAACATGTTGCATACAGTGTTGCATACTATTTTCACTGTTCATATGATAATTCTCTTTCCAGATTTCGTTTGTATCGAGGTAAAGATTGCATCCAATGGTTTGTTCAAGAGTTAAATCAATTGGCTCATTTTTGTAACAACAAATTTCAAAACATTATATCTATGGAAAAATTAACTACACAAGAACGTGAGCAGTTTGAATCCTCACAAATATGTCATATATGTAAAAAAACATTTTCAGAAAATAACGTTAAAGTGCGCGATCATAATCACTTAACTGGAATGTATAGGGGCGCTGCACATCAGAATTGTAATTTAAATTATAAAGATATTTGTGTTATACCTGTGGTGTTTCATAATATGAGTGGATATGACGCACATTTTTTTATTAAAGAACTTTCAAATTCAATAAAAGGTGACATTAAATTGCTTCCCATCAATAAAGAAAGATATATTTCATTTACTAAATTTGTCGATGATACAAAAGTTAGTTTACGATTTATTGATTCTTTCAGATTTATGCCCTACAGTTTAGACAAGCTTTCTTCCAATTTAGATAATTCACAAAAAATTATTACTCAGACAAATTGTAATAATATGGAAGAATTTTATTTGTTAAACAGAAAAGGAGTGTTTCCTTATGATTATATAAATTCCTGGGAGAAACTCCTTGAAACAAAACTACCCGAAAAAAAGGAATTTTATAGCCGCTTATACGAACAAGATGTTAAAGATGAAGATTATTCTCACGCTATCAAAGTTTGGAATACTTTCAATATTCGTACATTAGGAGAATATTCCGATTTATATTTAAAAACAGATGTGCTTCTTCTAGCCGACGTATTCGAAGCATTTCGAACTACGTGTTTAAATACTTATCAACTTGATCCCTTACATTATTATACTGCACCAGGCTTAACATTTGATGCCATGTTAAAAACGACAAAAATTAAACTAGAACTCTTAACGGACATAGATAAAGTCCTTTTTGTGGAGAGAGGTATTAGAGGTGGAGTTTCCCAATGTTCTAATAGATACGGTAAAGCCAATAATAAGTACATGAATAAAGACGAATATGATCCTTCACAAGATAGTACCTATTTAATGTATTTTGATGTTAATAACCTTTACGGAGCGGCAATGTCTCAATGTTTACCGTATGGGAAATTTGAATTTGTAGAAAATTTCAATATTTCAGATATCTTAGATACTTCTGATAATTCCACAACTGGTTATATTATTGAATGCGATTTGGATTATCCAGTAGATTTGCATGAAATACATAGCGATTTACCTTTAGCTCCAGAGCACATGATACCTCCCATTTCAAGATCTAAACTTAAAAAGTTGTTATTGACTTTATATCCTAAGAAAAATTATGTTATACATTATAGGAATTTAAAAATGTATATAAAATTTGGTATGAAAATAAAATGTGTACATCGTGTTCTTAAATTCGAACAGTCTGCGTGGTTAAAGGAATATATAGATTTAAATACAAGGCTTAGACAGCAAGCGAAGAACGATTTTGAAAAAGATTTTTTTAAATTAATGATTAACGCTATTTATGGTAAATGCATGGAAAATGTTCGAAAACATAGGGATATTCGATTGGTCAGTAAATGGGAGGGACGATGGGGAGTTCGTTCTCTTATTTCTAAACCAAATTTTCACAGTTCCGTTGTATTTGATGATGATTCAGCTATCATCGAAATGAGTAAATTAGAGGTGTTTTTAAATAAACCAATTTATGTCGGTTTTTGTATTTTAGATATTTCTAAAACTTTTCTCTATGAATTCCACTATGGTTATATTAAGGAAACATTTAACAATAATGCAAAGTTGCTTTACACCGACACTGACAGTCTAATTTACGAATTTCATGTAGGTGATATATACGAATATATTAAGAAAGATTCTCATCGGTTTGATACTTCAGACTATGATTTGTATAATGTTTATGGTATAGAACAAAAAAATAAAAAAGTGCCAGGTTTGATGAAAGATGAAAATAACGGTAAGATTATGTTAGAATTTGTGGGTCTCAGATCGAAAATGTATGCATATAGAGTTGCAAAGGATGATTTTAATAAAAAGGTAGTTAAGAAATCCAAAGGTAGTACGAAAGCTTCACTTAAAACAATAACATTCGAAAATTATAAAGAATGCTTATTTAATAGCCGAAATTACGAAAAGTCCCAAAATCTCATCAAATCAAAACATCATATTGTTTACACAATAAAACAGGAGAAAATAGTTCTCAGCCATAATGATGATAAGAGAATTGTTACAAGATTTGCAACGGATACGCGACCTTGGGGATATCATATTTCGCCACCAGAAATGTGAAGAGTGGGGAATTATAATATAAAAGCAGTTTAAGTTAGCTGATGATTTATTCGATGTTGGTGATTTCACATTACTACAATGTCTGACTTGAGACAGTTTGTTGATTTGCAAGCATTTTGTGCATCCGAAAATGTGTATAAAATTTATCTTCGCGCCGCTGCGAATGATAGGACAAAATTAAATTTGTTCCTTTACATTATTGAAAAAGCCGAATTTATTGTACCGGATGAAGTATTTAAATGGATTGCTGAAAATGAAGTTGGTTTTTTTACTCTTGACATATGTGTACTCCTACAAAAGAAACAATCTCTTGACAGTTATATTGATGCATTTCTAAATATATGTGAAAGAGACAACATTGAAAATTTAAATTATGCTTCTTTGGAGTTTTTAATGACCACCAACTACCTTGATAATTCACTAGTTTATAAATCTTTTATTTATAAATTATTAAGTGATCATCGCTGGCAGAATCTGGGGGATCTCTTCTATCCTGTTGAAAATATCCAGAAAAATTACCGACGGATCGAGCAATGTGTTGACGAATTTATGTGTCGAGCTGCATATTTGGCAAATCACAAAGCACTCACTACATTCTTTGAGGCTCTAACGATAATCAATTACGATTCCTTCACATTTAAACCCTCTGAAAATCAGGAGCACAAAAGAATTTTCACCTGGCTCAAAAAGAACATTGTCAAAGGTGAAGCTAATCCTGAATTACCATTAGGATGGACCGAAGGACCAGATGCAGCAAGATGGCCCTCAATTAAATTAGATGATTATAAGAAAACTTTAGATGTAATTTTTGGTTGTCATAAATAAAATACACAAAAATGGTTGTATATGTAGTTTTATTTACCCCTCAAACATAATACATTAATTTTAAATACAGTAACATTTTAAATTATTCACAACACTCTGACGACATCTTGTGCAGGAATGTATTTTACCATTCGGTCGTGAAGAATAAGACAGTAGGCTGTGGTGTCTGCTGGAATACCTGCGGTCGTTTCAAACCACAACGTAATTGTAACGGGGCCTCTCTTCAAAGCTTCCGTTTGTTTAGAACAGTCGATTACTACTATGGGTGTCTTTTCTTTAAATTCATCCTTATCGAATAATGGCTCGCTAGTTTTGGATAAGAACGATGTTCTTAAATCCTAATAAACTTCCTAAGGAATCCTTTCTTGAAAAATTTATATCAAGGGTACATTTAACTTCCGATTTTAATGTATTATTATTTCCTCTGATTATTAAGTTTGGTGTTGACATTTTAAATTTCTTTATTCTATTTCCGTATTCGTCAGTTTGGTATTGAAAATAATGTTCCATATAGTTTTTGATTTCTTTATTTAAATACGACTCAATGTCTTCTATTTCATAAGAACCCTCGGGAATTTCTATATAATGCTCTTTTTTGTCTGGTGTAAAAAAATA